ATCTCGCAAGGATGTGATAAAGTTGGACCTTTCTTCTTCAAATCCTTCTATAAATCCGATAAATTAGGATTTAATTGACTCTCCATCCCCCTGATGATGAAGGTATTGCGTTTGTTAGGATTTGAATTCATTTCCAGCTTATGAGAGCAAGGGATTACGATGGGTTGATGTTGATTTGGTTGTGGAAGTAGAATCACCACAACTGTTTGCTTCTCAACCACCAGATAGCTCCTCAACCACCGACTTACTCCACCACCAGCTTGCTTCTCAACCACTGACGATCAAGGTAATGAAATTAGGTCAAACCTAAAACGGCCATGGAATTAGAATCACCATGGCTCTTTGAAGCTTCTATTTGTTGGATTAAGATGTCTAAGGTCCTAACTAAATTGGTAAAATGTTGATAAATAAAAAGTAAAGTCCTTTTTGGGTTGCCCTTATAACTAAGAAATTGATTAGATTGATTATTGGAGAGAGATAAATGATTTGTTAATATATTGTATGATTAGTATATTAATTATAAATAGTTATAATTAATTTAGAATTAATTTGGAAATAATTTTAGGTTAATTAGAATTAATTAAAGGTTGAAAGAGTAAATTTGTAATTATTCAAAAGTTGAGCAGATGAGAGATTCCAGAACCTTCCTCCTATGGATGGTTTTGGAGACCCTAAAAGGGTTTCTGGAATCCTCCATTTAGATAATCAAGGAACCAGATAACTACTTTTTTTTGAGATAGTTTATTTTATGTTCAAATTAGGGTTTTTAGATGTCTCCTAGTCAGCTATAAATATAGCCTTATACCATGTAATTTTCGGCCACTCTATTCCATACTAGATCCGAAAATTGGTCCTCTCTCCTCTCTCCTAATCTTTCTAGGGTTCTTGTGTTTTTGGTGTGAACCATTAGAGGCTCGCACGCAATTGGAGCTTGATTTCAAAGAGACTTGTGGATTGATCATGTTGGATTCAAAGGTTTGTTTACAATAACAAATCAGAGGTATGTGATTCTTTTGTGAATTTCGATTTCCATTAGCGTTTAGAACTTTTGTTGTTTAATAGTATGTTGCTTCAATAGTGTTATGACATAGATCAAAGTAGGTTGCAAGTAGCCTTAAAAGTATAAGGATTTTTCCGCATTATTACATGCAAAACCCAACACTATTTTCTCTATTGTGAATGGAATATGATTGTCATTTGGTTATTTGGTAGTATTTTTGGCCTCTTGAGCGTTATTTTGGCTGATGATTTGTAATTTGACTTGTAAATTGTTATCTGTCTCCTGATCATCCATGTGTGATTCTTGTTAATCAAATATGGAACTTTTTTTATGCTTCTAGTTTCTTTATGAATGCTCACTAAGTGTTTTGGTTTTCAATGTGTTAAACGTTCTTTTTGAAAAGATGTCAACAAGTTAGGTTTATTTGTGTGTTCATCTTCTCTACAAACCTTCAAAAACAGGGTAAGGAGGGGTGGGTGTTGGATAGTGGTGATAGGCAGTGGTGGTGTTGGTAGTGGACCGAAGGGGGGGGGGGGATAATGAGTCTGAGAGGAAGAAGTATAAAAGGATGCTATTTTTTTTCTTTTATATGTAAACATAGAAAAAAAAGATAAAATAAATTATAAGGGTATAAAAGTCTTTTTATATGGGTGAGAGATTAGCCATAATAGAAACTGAAAATCACAAGGATCTTCCATGAAGTTTTTTAAAGTTAGAGACTAAAACCTAGATTTTAAAAAACCACTGGGAGCATTAATAAATTTTGTATTATTATTATTATTATTATTATTATTATTATTATTATTATGATTATTTACCCTATTGACATGATTTTTCATATTTTAGTTGTTTTTTTATTTATTTTTTGTTTTTTTGTATTTTTAATAAGTATTAAAAATATTTTTTTGTTTGTTCATAATATTTGTGTTATTTTTTTCATTTGTTATTTTTTCATTTGAACTATCTATGTATTATTCTTTCGTTCAGATTATCCCTATCTTATTTTTTTCGTTCCGATTATCTCAGTGTTATTTTTCTATTTCGGACTATTCATATGTTATTTTTTCATTCCGACTATCTCAGTGTAATTTTTCTGTTCGAATTATTCATATATTATTTTTTATTCAGACTATCTATGCGTTATTTTTTTTCGTTCCGACTATCATTATGTTATTTTTGTTCCAACTATCCTTATGTTGTTTTCTCTTCGGTCAGATTATCACCATGTTATTTTTTTGTTCGGATTATTTTTGTGTTATTTTTTCGTTCTAACTATCTCTGTGTTTTGTTTGTTTCAACTATCATTGTGTTATTTTTTGTTTAAACTATCCTTATGTTATTTTTTTTTCATTAAGACTATCCATGTATTATTTTGTTTTCGTTCGGACTATCAACATGTTATTTTTTTTGTTTGAACTTTTTGATGTTATTATTTTGTTGCGATTTTCGTAGCCATTAAATAAAACTCACACACAAACATTCATATAATTGTTCGTTTATTTTTTATACAAAAATAAAAATATAACACATAAATAGATGGGAAGAGAAAATAACAAAGAGATAGTCTGAACAAAAAAACAACACATGGATAATCCGAACAAAAAAATAATGTAGGGATAATTTGATCGAAAAAAATAACACAATGCTAGTCCGAACGGAAAAATAACACAATAATAGTACGGACGAAAAAATAACACATAGATAGTCCGGACGAAAAAAATAACATATGAAGTCTAAACAAAAAAAGTAACATACAGATAATTCGAATAAAAAAAATAACACAGAGATAGTCGGAACAATACTTATGAATAGTCGTAATATTTTTATTGAACAATATCTAGTTACCGTTTGTAAAAATAAAGATACAACTATACATAATTTTATGTTTTCTAAATAAAACAAAAAAAAAAATAATAATAACAAAAAATCAAATCAAGAGGCAACATCAAATTCTATTATTCTTAGACAAAACTGCACAAATGGTCCCTGTAGTTAGTTGAAAATTGCTACTTTGGTCCAAAAATGTTTGGACTAGCACCAGAAGTCCAAACTTTTCATTTTGTTGCGAGTTTGGTCCAATTTGCTTTGAACTTTTTTATAATGACGATTTTGCCCTTGCTTTTTGTTTTTTCATTTTTATTTATTTATTTAGATATTTTTCTTAGTAAAAGAAATTAAAAAAAGACAAAACCCTCTCTCTCTCTCAAAAATTAAAAAGAAATTAAAAAAGACAAAACCCTCTCTCCCTCTCCCTCTCTCTCTATCTCTCTCTCTCAATTCGTCTTCCACCTCCACAGCCAAAAGAAATTTGGCCTCCAATCAAAAATATGTTCCCCTCATCCCTCCTCTCGCCGGAAACCCCTACACATAAAAATCTGGTAACATTCAGCGCCTCCCCACTCCACCACCATCACCATCACCATCGTTTATACAGCCGGAGATAGAGGGGAATCTACATCTGATTCAACTCAGCGATGACAAATCCACCTGCATCCATTTTTTGTTCTTTGGAATTAAAGAACACAACAGTTTCATCTTCTGAAAGATTAGTTTTCATCATCGGAAAGATTGAACATTAGAATCCTTCATCGTTTTTGAACCCTAATGTCTCCTGCCCTATGAAATTTCAGAAGAATGATGTCGGAATTCTCCCACATGGAGGCAGGAGGAGAAACCCCAAAATATGGAAAAATCATAATTATCTTCATCTTCAAGGTTAAAAATAATATTTGGATTTTTGATTTGGGGATGAAAGGTTCGATCAAGATCCCCTCCTCCACCCACTAGAAATTACAACCACCATTAGACAAGCATAACACCAGTGCGATAGATGCAGTAGATAAATGAGAAACTTGACGCGTCTGAAACCCTAGGTCGCCGCACTACGTCTTCTCTATTACCCAGGTTTGTTCACCAAGCTTTAACGAGGGAGGGAGAGAGAGAGAGAGAGAGAGAGAGAGCCCTTCGTCTTCAGATAAGGATTTTCCTGCGGAGGTTTTAGTGAGTAGTGGTTGTCGGAGTTGGTGGTTTGGGGCTGAAGGTAGGGTTGAATTAGGGTTGACGCGGTTTGGTGACGGTGGTGACGATGACGATCCTTCTTCTTAAGGTGTTTTCATCGAGCACCTGGATCTTGGCCTGACCTCCGTCTTCTCCCGGCTCCGGTGACTGCTCTGGTGGGTGAGAGATTGAAGGTGGGTTCCAAGTTCAAGAGCATTGTGCTGGAATATTTTACACATGATAAACACACACTCAAATACATAAGAGAGAGAGAGATAGAGGGAGGCTCATGACGGCACTGCGGAGGCTTCAGAGAGAGAGGGACGAGCGATTTCTGTGCTCCGGGGCGCCTGGATGAGAGAGAGAGAGAAGAGAGAGGGAGAGAGCCAGAGATTCAAGACCAGAGGGGATTGAGAACGCTCGGAATCAAATAGGACAGATGAGAAGACGAGCGACGACGAGAGAGCAGAGATGAGAGAGGCGAGATGAGAGAGAGAGAGAGAGAGCAGAGAGAGAGAGATGAGAGAGAGAGCGAGAGAGAGAGAGGAGAGAGAGTAGCGAGAGAGAGGAGATAGAGAGAGAGAGAGAGAGAGAGAGAGAGAGAGAGAGAGAGAGAGAGAGAGAGAGAGAGAGAGATTTAATTTTAATTTTATTTTTTATTTTTTTTAAATCTAAAAATTAGAAAAATAAATAAGAGAGAGATTTATTTTATTTTTATTTTTTTAAATTTGAAAATCAGAAAAAAAATCATATTAACAGGGGTAAATTCGTCATTTTGAAAAAAATAAAACAGATTGGACCAAACAAACAACAAAATGAAAACTTTGGACCTCTGGTGTTAGTCCAAACCTTTTTGGACCAAAGTGGCAATTTTAAGCAAACCACAGGGAACATTTGTGGAGTTTAGTCTTATTCTTATTATTCTTATTATTATTATTATTTTTGCGTAGAAACTAGAAACAAGGTTCGTTCAAGTCCACGAGGATTTACCATGAAACTAAGAAAGCATCTTGTGGGCATGTCACAGAATCTTTTACCGATTTCCCCAATTACCTCTCGCCACTCTGAAACCTGTTGCCTTTTCTTCAACTTTCCATTTTTATCTTCCCACACAAACCCTTCCAACTGTCGCCGTCCGATCTCTATCCCACTCTCCCCTCCCCCAATTCTTTACCATCTTCAATCCCTTCCACTCTCACTAACTCTCACGTCCTCTCTTTCTGGGTTTTCATTCTTGGATCCCCTCAATCCATAACTCTTTCCCTGTAATCTCTCTTCTCCATCTGGGGTTTCGTAATCCAATCCCCTTTTCCAATCTTCTGATCAAATTCGCTGATTCTATCCACCAAAATTCGTTCTGGGTATATTAATTCGAGTTCGCTTCCACGATCCACCATCTATTGGAGTCATCCATGAATGGTCGGAGCTACAACCACCACCGTATACACATGTCGGATGTGGTTTTCGAGTGTGTGATTCCATACATACACGACTCACGCGACCGTCAATCGGTATCCTTGGTCTGCCGGAGATGGTACGAACTGGAAGCCCAGACGCGTAAACAGGTGATGATTGCGTTGTGTTATACAGCGACACCGAAGCAGCTATGGCGGAGGTTCCCCTACCTTGAGTCGCTGAAACTGAAAGGGAAACCGCGAGCTGCCATGTATAACTTGATCCCCGAGGATTGGGGTGGGTTTGTGACGCCGTGGGTGGAGGAGATTGCGAGATCTTTCGTTTGCTTAAAAGCTGTTCACTTTAGAAGGATGATTGTTAAAGATGATGATCTTGAGCTCCTTGCACGTTCACGTGGCCATGTTCTTCAGGTTCTTAAGCTTGACAAGTGCTCTGGTTTTTCCACCGATGGTTTATTGCATATATGTCGATCCTGCAGGTATTATCTCGATCTTTTACCCTATTTAACATTTGTTAATTGCTGAATCTTCCATTATTTGGTCCTTGATTCATTCGATAAACAATAAACTATGATATGGTATTATCATCTTAATTATTATTTTTTTAATTACCCTACTCTTTGGCTTTGTTGCGATTTGTTGGATAATATGAAATAAGGAATTTGTACAACATTTGTAGAATTTAAAAGGTGGACAGGGTTGCATTGCATACCCTATAAAGTGCCTATAAAGTCTAAATTTTGGTGTAAAGTGACTCGATCAAACACACTTTATTTCTTTTCATTTCTTCCATTATTTTAAAGCGGATAAAAAATGCGACTTAAATTTTTGGATAGTTAAAATGTAATTGCTTTGAGAGGTTTGTTTATTATCATATAACGAATTAAAGATTGTGCATAATATTCTTTTCATGACATTGCAGGAATCTGAATACATTATTTCTAGAAGAGAGTCAAGTAATAGAAAAAGATGGAGAGTGGCTACATGAACTTGCGTTAAACAACACTGTTCTTGAAACATTGAACTTTTACATGACAGATCTTTCTTGTGTTAATATCAAAGATCTTGAACTTATAGCAAAAAAATGCAGGAATTTAGTTTCAGTCAAAATAGGTGATTGTGAAATCTTGGATCTTGTTGGTTTCTTTCGTGCTGCTGTTTCACTTGAAGAATTTGGTGGAGGTTGTTTTAATGATCAAGCAGAACAATATGCTTCAATGTCTTATCCTCCAAGATTGTGTCTTTTAGGTTTAAATTACATGAGTACAAATGAGATGCCCATTGTGTTTCCATTTGCATCAAGGCTTAAAAAGTTGGATCTTCTTTATGCCCTTCTTGATACAGAGGATCATTGTCGATTGCTCCCAATGTGTCCCAATCTTGAAGTTCTTGAGGTAAAAATCTCATTTTTTTTTTCACTTATTCTTGATTTGGGCTATTTCAAGATTCAAATATGATATGAGTTCTTGGAAAATTAGTCTGAAACTGGTATCAAGATTAGCTTATTATACTTATGGACCAAAAAGATATGCTTTTTGACTCTGTAGTTAATTGGATTTATTCAAGATTCTTTCTTGATACAAGTTCTTGAAATATTAGTCTAAAAATTGTTTAAATATTATGTTATACGTATGATTCTTGTCACATACTCTCTCCCCACAAAGAAAAGATTGCATTTTGGCTCTACTTTTAATTGGGTTATTTCAAGATTCCAACTTGATACGATTTCTTCAAATATTAGTCTAAAATTGGTAATAATAAACAAATAACTGAATTTACATTCCTATTTCTTGCATTTTAAAGATTATATTTTACTTATGAACAGACAAGAAACGTAATCGGAGATCGTGGAATGGAAGTTCTTGCTAATTGTTGCAAAAAATTAAAACGATTACGAATCGAACGAGGTGCAGATGAACAAGAAATGGAAGATGAAGAAGGAATCGTTTCTCAAAGAGGCTTAACAGCTTTATCACAAGGTTGTATCCAATTACAATACATTGCTGTATACGTATCCGACATTACAAACGCAGCTCTCGAATCCATGGGCATACACCTAAAAAACCTCTGTGATTTCCGCATGGTGTTGCTAGACAGAGAAGAGATAATTACCGATTTACCCCTCGACAATGGAGTCCGAGCTTTACTCAACGGTTGCCATAAGCTTAAACGATTCGCTCTTTATCTTCGACCTGGAGGTTTGACTGATGTGGGTTTGACTTATATCGGTCAATATAGTCAAAATGTACGATGGATGCTATTAGGTTATGTTGGCGAATCTGACGAAGGGCTTTTAGGGTTTTCAAAAGGGTGTCCAAGTTTGCAAAAATTGGAAGTGAGAGGGTGTTGTTTTAGCGAACAAGCACTTGCGATTGCTGTTTTACATTTGAGATGTTTGAGGTATTTATGGGTTCAAGGGTATAGAGGGTCATCTACTGGATGTGATTTGTTAACAATGGCGCGACCTTTTTGGAATATTGAAATAATTCCTTCTAGAAGAGTTGTTGTTGTTGGGGAAGATATAGAGGATGAGCAACCTGCTCATATACTTGCTTATTACTCTCTTGCTGGACCTAGAACGGATTTCCCACCTTCTGTTATCTCACTTGATTCCATTCCTGTTCTTGATTCCATTCCGGTGATAGATGAATAGAAGAGATGTGTATAGATCTTTCATTCCACAAGCTCTAGACATAGTCTTCTGTTTGATGTTGTATTCTCATTAAGTTTTGTTCCAATTCCTAGAATCATGGGGTATGTAATAAGCTTGATGTATTTGAAATCTTGAAGGGTTTTTATTTTTTTTATTTTTATGTTGATGAATAATGAGCCATTTTTAGTGAACATCCATACATGTTAACAAGATTATCAAAGGTGATATTCAAGAAACTGTAATAAAGATTGTACATATGTTTTTATGTCTTGGTATTTAATTTCTTTTCTAGATTTTTGAGTAGTATTTGTTTGAAGAGGATAAGGATTCAATAAATTAAGAGAGTCATGGATGCATAATGGATACTTTTTATGCTTGTGGGAACCAAAATATCAAGAGAAGTAGTCACTTTCATAGTATCATTGGTTTTAACTGAAAAGTGACATTCACGACACAAATTTTAAAGATGATATTCTTTAAAGCTTGTGTAGATCCTCTTATCAGATTTGTAAGTGAATTTTACCTTTCTACAAAAGAGTTATTCTTTCAATAACTCATGATTCCGCCGACATGTTCATGTTCTAAAATATCATCTAAGATGTAAATCAGACACCTAATGGTCTGCTAGATGGCCAATTCAGGTAGCCGAAACTATATTAAAATTAAAACTCCAACACTATTAATGAGCCTTGACTTGTTGACCTTTTTTTTTTTTTTTTTTTTTTTTTGGTGCAAGTATAACACTCTAGAATCAAGTGTGGTACAGTTGGGGACAAATAAAATGACTTTAGGAACTTCTCAGTTGACTATCATTTGTAGGTGTCAACCGTTTTATATTTATATTCTTTATGATGTCGGATAACCAGAACATCTTTGCTTAAGAAAAATCTGAACCAAGGGCATGAAGAACAATGGTTTAAATATGTATTTATTTATGTTTGAACGGCTAATTTACACACATTCTAAATTTTATTTCTAAACTAAACATTTGTCTATCGAAGGACTTGAACCATTAAACATTTGTCTATCGAAGGACTTGAACCATTAACCACTTATGGAGGGACATATTAAAAATATACCTGATACCACTAGCTTACAGCTCATTTCTTAGTGTATCTTATGACTATAAGGTTGTACCATATGTTGTGGGACATCCCCACTAATAAAAATTGATCAAAAATAGAATAAAGTGGTGGATGCAAGTGCTTTCTCATGCAACTTGCAGAAAGGTTTCTCCAATTAAAAATTTGTTTTATGATAGTGAGGGCCTTTGTCATACTCCAAATAAAAGTTGAATTAAACCATATAGTACATAATATACTTTTTTTTATTGCATATACGTGTGGCTTATGTGTGAAATAAATGAAGTGGACATTTATGTGTATGGGCACTTAAGCTTGGCTTTTCTGTGGATGATCTTTGTATTATAGTATCAACCACTTACTAGTTTAGTACCCATTAGGAAACCAATAGTGATCTTCTTTATGGGATACAAATTCTTTGCTTCGTCTTTAGAAGCAACACTTTCCTTGACAACGTTTATTGCACTAAATACACCATATTATATATTTCTCTAAAGAGTTCTTGATGGGACTGATGCATTAGTGTTGATATTGATGATGCCATGAACTTGGATTCCTCACCTTACGTTTTTTGAATTTCAAATTTACAAAAGAAAATGATTAAATCGTTAGAAGTATCTTGGGTATGATCCTGAAGATACGTTCTTAATGATCAAATTTGTCATGGTACTATGTGGGGTAAGAGTATCAGAGATATGTATAAAAAATATTCTATGTGTTTTTTTTATCTTATCTTTTCGTGGGAGGTTTGATATGTTTTATAGGAGACCATTCAGGCTGCTCGGCCTCTCTATTGGCCTTATCTAGTAAAAGGGGGAACAATGTCGTCACCGACTATGAATTTCTGAATTGTAGCTAATGTTAGAAGGAATTAGGGGACACACTTTTGGGAGTTTGAACTCTTAATATTTAATTGATCACAATCATGGCTCTTAACTTCGATCGTATTTATGAAGTTTGAAAGATGGCATGCCATTGGGTGCATTGAGTGTTTACCATGCCAATTACTTCTACGACGACAACATCGTTCCTTGTCACTTTACATTTAACATGATTTGATATTAGAGTATGTTTTTAGAGTCGTAACTTGCCCTTCTAGCTTTGTTTATTTTTTCTTTACTGCAACATCTTCTTCCTGCCCATGTTCTTCTTCTGTGGCCGTTTTTTTTGTCTTTCTAGTTCATTCTAGGTTGCGACCATCAGCGTGAAAGATCGTGTAAGGGAGTTTTTATAAAACAATGATTGTTGTCGGATGTTAGACGATGCCATCAAATGATTTGGTTTACATCGTGTAGATGGCATTGAAATCCCAAACACTCATGCTTCAAATGCTAAGATGGTGGTTTATAATAGTTTTTATGCATGTCTTATTTTCTACAAACAACTTTATGAGGGATCTTCTTATGCATCTCGATTTTAAATCATCCAACCGGATACCAACGACGTGTTTCAAATTTTTGGCTTCAAGTGACTTTGCAATAGTTTTGGTATCATACTATGCTTTCCTAGGATTCCTCTTCCCACACGTGTCGAATGGTCATTGCTAATGTCGGAAAATTACCTCATGAATGCATGTTGTACATACTTAAAATAAAATAGACGTTTGAATAGATGTCTCTGCCCTAAGGTCTTCATCAAACAAGAAGAGACAATAAGCTTGAATCAAACATTCTATGACTATTTAGTTTTAACTATGTACAACCCTAATGCATTTATAAAATAATCTTTCATTATCAACATAGACCCTAAGCAACTATCAACATAGACCCTAAGCAATTAGCAACATAGCAATTATCAACATAAACACATAGCAGGCATAAAGGCATATCGTCTCTCCTAAGCATGCATCCTAACATGCAACCTGAGCAGATCCCTAGCCTAACTTCTAGCATGCAATTCATATAATAGCATACCTCACCTTTATGTATGAGTATTTTGAGAAAACTTACTTGAGCCACGGTTGATTACATGCATCACATCCTTTTCTTTTTAAAACCCTTTTTGGAAAAAGATTTTATTAATCCCCAGTTTGAGTCCAGACGTACCACATATTCAACACCAAGTTCCAGGTATAATTGCTTTTGTGATTTTGGCATTTAAGACTTGAAAATATAAGTTTTTTGGTGGCCACGACTTGGCGGTGTAGTCGCCACGACATGACATCACCTAATGGAATCACACCTTCATTCACCACGATGTGACATGGTGTTGGCCACGACGTGGTGGAGGCCTGCATGCAAAACCCTATTTTTTGGGCCTTAAGCACTATTTAAGAGATGTGATGGCTAGGGTTTTCTCACCTTCAACCTCCATCACCTCCCTTTAGACCTAAGTAAGCCCTAGCCTCCATTTTTGAGTTCTTGAAGTTTCTTGGTGGTTTTTGGTGATATTGAAGGAGAAGAAGGTGTCCTTTGAGAATAGATCTAGCAAGCAAGTTCCCCCACAACCTTATTGCACATATTCTGGACCATTATAAGTCCACATGTTCAAATCTTTATGTGCTATTCTTCTAGATCTAGATTCTTATAAACTTTTCTTCATGTTTGGAATAGTTTGAGTGGATTGATTCCATAAAGTTGGCAACTTTATTGAGTTTTGATTCCATGCAGGAGGTTTTGACCTTATTTTCACCATTTTTTTACCTAAGTAGAGTTTAAGACATACATTGGACACGTATGTCCATAAAGCAAAGATTTTTATGAGATCTTTGGGTGTAAGAAAGCTTTCTGGAAGAGATGAGTGTGTGGCTTAATGGATTAAGGAATTAATCCTTTAAGTTGTCCAGGAAGAGTTCCCACGACGTGACGATATGCTCACCACATCGTGGCGACTGAGGTTCTCGTGACTGATTTGTCTTGAGGCTGCCACGTCGTGGCAGATGCTTGGCTACGGCGTGGTGACTAGTAGAATTGACTTTTGGTTGTTGACCGTTGACTGTTGACTTTTTAACTACGATTTACTTTTGGTCAACTTGAGAGTTTTTGGGCTATAGATTGAGGATGTACCTCTGATTGTTGTGTAAGTGGCTCGTAGCACTAGTCTTTGTTTCGTGTGAGCGGTGTTGATAGTTTGCTAGCCTACGAGGTAATTTTTCTTACTATACTTTTGTACTGCAGTATGTATCCTTATCTGTAGGATGTTGTTATGTCGTAGTGATCTGTTAGATTGATATATCTGTTATGATTACCTGTGTTTGTTGGTTATTGTTTATGTGCATATGTCGACATATTGTGGTTGGGTTGAGGCAGTCCTGCTTTGCGCTGTAGACCAATGTACCCAGGCGGTCCAAGTGTACTGTAGGCCTTGTGAAGCGGTCCAAGTGTACTGTAGGCCTTGCGAGGCAGTCCAGTCAGACTATAGGCTCGTGTGTGCATGCTTTGTATTTGTATTATTGTATGGGGTATTTTGGAGAAGTCACTAAGCTTTGGCTGACAGTTGTGGATTTAAATGTTCCAAGTACTTCAGAGGATCGGGGGAAAGGAGAACGTGTGACTGTTGGTGTGTTATTTATTCGTACTAGTTTTTTTATTTATAAAGTCATATCTAATCTCAACTAGTCTTAGACACAAATAGGCAGTGTACCTAGTCGTGAAATAATATAGTTTAAGGTAAGAAAAGGTCTTGACAGGGAAAATGATGGTTTAGATCAAATGATTCAAATGCTAATTAATTAATAACTATGAAAAGTAAAGATGGGGTTTTTGTGTAAACTAATTTAAGCTAGTTTTAATTTTCTATTAATCAAATGAAACTAAAGAACTAAATGGAAAAAATAAATAAGAAGTACATCCACTAGAATACAAATCCCCCAAGTTTTTATGTTTGATTTATTAGAAATGCAATGGATTAATGAATTGATTACCGAATTGTAATATGATTAGTTATCTTCATCGGATTTCCTAGTACTAATAATTAATG